GCACCTACGTTGTTTCCATCGTTTTGCTATTGTGAACAATGCTGCCATGAACATAGGTGTGCATATGTCTGTTTGAGTGACGACTCTTATTTCTCTAGGATATATTCCTAGGAGTGGGTGTTTACCTGTGTTTTATTGATTATGCAAAGGTATTTGACTGTGTGGACATAACAAATTATGGATAACATTGCGAAGAATGGGAATTCCAGAAGACTTAATTGTGCTCATGCAGAATCTGTACATAGACCAAGAGGCAGTTGTACAAATAGAATAAGGGGATGCTCTGTGGTTTAAAATCAGAAAAGGTGTGTCTCAGTGTTGTATCCTTTCTGTATGCTGAGCAAGTAATGCTGGACTATAATGAAGAAGAACACAGCATCAGGATTGGAGGAAGACTCATTAAAAACTTGTGATACGTAGATGATACAACCTTGCTTGCTGAAAGCAAAGAAGACTTGAGGCACTTACTGATGAAGGTCAAAGACTATAGCCTCCAGTATGGATTACACCTCAACATAAAGAAAACAAAAATCCTCACAACTGGACCAATGAGCAACATTATGATAAACGGAGAAAAGATTGAAGCTGTCAAGTATTTCATTTTACTTGGATCCACAGTCAATGCCCATGGAAGCAGCAGTCAAGAAATCAAATGCCGTATTGCGTTGGGCAAATCTACTGGAAAAGGCCTCTTTAAAGTGTTGAGAAGCAAAGATGTCACTTTAAGGACTAAGGTGCGCCTGATCCAAGGCTTGGTGTTTTCAGTTGCCTCATATGCATGAGAAAGCTGGACAATGAATAAGAAAGACCAAAGAAGAATTGATGCCTTTGAATTATGGTGTTAGTGAAGAATATTGAATACACCATGGACTGCCAGAAGAACAAACAAGTCTGTCTTGGAAGAAGTACAGAGTGCTGCTTAGAAGTGCGGATGGCAAGACTTTGACTCACGTACTTTGGACATGTTATCAGGAGGGACCAGTCCCTGGAGAAATACCTCATGCTTGGTAAAGTGGAGGGTCAGCGAAAAAGAGAAAGACCCTCAATGAGATGGATTGACACAGTGGCTGCAACAGTGGGCTCAAACAGCAAGGATGTGAGGATGGCGCGGGACCCAGCAGTGTTTTGTTCTGTTGAACATAGGGTCGCTATGAGTTGGAAACAACTTGACGGTACCTAACAACAACATTATTTTAAATTGTTTTATGAGAAGGCCTCAGGCAGGTGAGTTCCAGGTTGGCTAAGTCAGCAATTTGGGGTCATCATCAAGGACCCAGGCTCATTCCACTTTTCTGCACTGCCTTACTTACCGTGTTGGTTTTGTCCTCAAGCTAGCTCCTCTCATCGTTGCAAAGTGTCTGCCACAGTTGCAGGCATCACAAGTAGACACAACAATGCCCTGCAAAAGAAGAGAATGTCTCTTCCTATGATTCTCCATCAGCAAGGATACCTTTCCCAAAAATCCTGTCAATGGCCAGCTTTGAGGCTTGTGCCCATCCCTAACCCAGTCATTGCCTGGACCTAGTCAGGATTTGCCCCTGGAACTAGGGCTAAGGTTACTCTTGTTTAGTCACGTGTGCAGGAATAGATACCTGAGCGTCAGATAGGAACGGCTGGTAGGGATTGTTCGTACCACTTCGTAAGATGGTTGGGAAAATTAGTGAAAGTGCATGAACTTTCCTAGTTCAGCAGCTCACTTGATTATCCAGAAATAACTGCCACTATTTACAACAAAGGTCAGATTTGGTCATCTAAACTTTGCTTAAGTCTAGAGCTATTTGGCACAGCTGGAATGGCCATAGTATCTGATCCCCAGTTCTGAGCTTAAGTCTACTGCATTCTGTCCCTAGAAGCGTTGAGTTTACTAGTCATCTTCAAGGCAGGAGGCACCTTTGTGTAAGTTTGTCTCCTTGTCCTTATGGCTTTTTATCTTTACTGTAATTACTGTTATTATTTTATATATCTTTTTTACTTAGACTTTTTTAAATTAATTTTTTAATTGTGGTTATCTTTAAAAAAAAAAAAGTGTAACGTGCTTGTTAGAAAAGTATCCTTTCTGCCTTTTTTCTGTGCATTTGTGTATGCTTCCTCTGCGTTTTAGGCTGTTCCATTCTGTCAGCAGACAGGCCACCTGCGTGGCATAGTTGACACACTTTGTCAGGGTACTTGTCTCCAAATGCTGCTTTGCTTGAGCAAATCTGCTTCTTCATGTTGTATTTTCTAGCTTTACGTTAGCTAATGTTAGGAGAGGGACTGAAAACAACAACAACAGAAGATCACCTGCAATTGTGCAGTATTGAAATTATAGCTGTGAATATTGACATGTTTGCATTTGGTGTTTTGTGAATGTATGTGTTTGCATAGTTGATCATACTGTTCTCACAGTTCTGTAGTTTGCTTTTTTATCTATTTACTGATACACTATTTTAAAATACTTATAAGATGTACTTTATTTACTTAACTATTTCTCTGACATTAGACTTGATGGTATTTCCAGTTTTTTGCTCTTTAAATATGCTTTGATGATTATTTTTGTGCCAAAATGTCTATTGATGTTTCAGATTATTTCCGTAGGGCTAGATTTCAAGAAAGGGATACTAGGTTAATACTTACTGCCAGCTTCTTTTACAGAAAAATATACTAGTTTATATTACCACTAGCAGTATATGAAAGTGCCCTCTCAATGTTTATTACATTGATTTTTCAAAACGGTTATGGCATTGTTCATTTTCTAGAAGCACTAACTCCAAGCCCCTTGTTTAGGAGGTAGAAATGATGAAAGCTGCTTATCGGAAAGAACTAGAAAAAAATAGAAGTCACGTTCTCCAGCAGACTCAGAGACTCGATGCCTCTCAGAAACGGATTTTGGAACTGGAATCTCATCTGGCCAAGAAAGACCACCTTCTTTTGGAACAGAAGAAGTACCTAGAGGATGTCAAACTCCAGGCAAGGTAACTTTGATCGGGAAAGGTTTGAGCAGTGAGGTGTGTTCTCGTTAAGTGAACTTCTCATATTTTGGTGTGGTCTTTATCTTACAGAGAACAGCTGAAGGCTGCAGAGAGCAGGTATGAGGCTCAGAAAAGGATTACCCAAGTATTTGAATTGGAGATCTTAGATTTATATGGCAGGTTGGAGAAAGATGGCCTTCTGAAAAAACTTGAAGAAGAAAAAACAGAAGCAGCTGAAGCAGCAGAAGAAAGGTAGGAACAAAGAGTTGGTGTCCATGACCTTGTGATTAAGCTGCCACTGACAGCACAAGGCCTGCATCACGTGGGTGTTAGAAGCAATCATAACTCGATAAGACAAGGCTGCAGCGCTCAGCACACTTCATTTCAGAGGCCATACCTAACTTACCTTTTCTCAAAATGCCTAGTCATCTTTCCTTGTTCTTTTTCCTTGGCTCTGAATCACTTGATATGGTTCCAAGAAACATTCATATTTAAGACTGCCATTCAGTTTCCCTCTTTGTGACTTATATTTCTCTGGATGAGAGCTCATGCTTGATTCCTCTACTCTAAAATACGGAGTAGGCTAGCAGAGTTCAGTGTCAGGGTGAGCAAGTGTCAGTGTGACTGCATGCCCTCCAGACATGGATGCTCTAATCTCCAATGCATTTTTTCCTCCCTGGATTTCCTACAGGCTTGACTGTTGTAATGATGGCTGCTCAGATTCAGTAGTAGGGAACAATGAAGAGACATACGGCCACAACGGTGAGACCAAGATCCCCAGACCTGGCAGTAGTGGAAGTAGAGGAGGCGGAGGAAGCAGCAGCAGCAGCAGTGAGATTTCTACTCCAGAGAAACCTCCAAACCAGAGGGCAGGCCCATTCAGCATTCGGTGGGAAACTGCCATGGGAGAGCCCTCTACCAGCATCCCTATGACTGTTGGCTCACTTCCCAGTTCAAAAAGCTTTCTGGGCATGAAGGCTCGAGAGTTATTTCGTAATAAGAGTGAGAGCCAGTGTGATGAGGACGGCATGACCATCAGTAGCCTTTCAGAGACCCTAAAGACAGAACTGGGCAAAGACTCAGGCGTGGAAGCCAAGACTCCCCTGAACCTAGATGGCCCGCACCCATCTCCCCCAAACCTGGACAGTGTTGGACAGCTTCATATCATGGACTATAATGAGACTCATCATGAACACAGCTAAGGATGATGGTCGATCAGTGTTAACTTTCATATGTTGGCATAGAACAGGAAGTGTGAATGCACGTTTCAAAGCTTTCCTATTTCCAGGGTCTGAGTGGCTAGCTCATGCAGTGGAAATGAGATGGGGGTCCTTTTGACAATTGACTGAATGCAGAACGTTTTTTGGATCTGGCATTGAAATGCCTCTTAACCTTTCCCTTGACCCACCCCCAAACCTCTCTTTTATACCTAGCAGTGTACTAATCCAAGGGCCAGTTTGCATTCCTCAGTAGCTTTAATTCCTTCCTTTTCCCCCAGATGGTTGCGTCCTTTGAACCTGTGCAATATGAGGCCAAATTCAGTCTTTGAGTCTAACACACCACTTTCTGCTTTCCTGAAGCTCAGATAACTTGGTTAGCTCTCGGTTAGACCAGGTAGTTGGTGGTATTGCAGGTAAGCCTGGTTTTGTTCCTTTCCCGGAGGTAGTCTACAAAGCTGATCTTCCCATGAAAGCTTTTACATGAGACTTTTCCACTGCTTTTTGGTTCTGAAGTTCAGCATCTAAAGCAGCACATCTAGAAAAACAATGGTTTATTCACCCTTACGTTCTTTTGGCGGTTCTGATAAGCTTCCTAGAAAGCTTTGTGTGAACAGATGTCTGCTGTTTCACAGATCCAGAGCTGGCACTGTGGAGACCATATTTACTTACCCTTTGGGAAAGCTCTGTTCTCCCTGCCCCCACTACCTCTTATTTATTTGGTGTTTGCTTGAAAGCTGGTACTGTTCTGACCACCGGCTGGCAGTATAGGTGGATGAAACCTGCTCTCTGCAGGAGGGAGGGAGTGGTAATTGAAAAGTTACCCTGGAAGCACTTGTGTAAGAGTAACTGCATCTCCGAGCAGGTCTTGTGTTAGCTGAGCCTTTTGGCTAAACTCCTGTTTCCCTCCCTTTGTGTTCATACTCGCCTCTTGTTTATGTCAGCTTCTTGGCTAACACTGCAGCAGAAAGGCTTGGAAGTTCCAAAGAATTTCTTCAGTGTTTTATGTGACCATTGTTTCTCAGGCTGTTAGAGTTGCCTCACTGTAGTAGGTTCTAAGCCACCAAAAAGGTAACAGCTTTTTCGCACCAATTCAAACTTTCAGGGGCCTACTATCCAGGGAGCTTATTGCTGTTAAACTCCTATGTGTTAGTAATGGCAGAGCATTTTAAAGGGAAGTCTGGGAAAATGCTGACAAAGGCTGACTGCTGTGTGCCCACTGGGGTGCCCACACACGCTCAGGAGACACCAGTCAGAACACTGACGGCAGAGAACCCAAATCCAACAAATGCTCCTGAAATAAATGCTAGAAGCCTAAGAATTGTTGCCTGGTATTCCAGCTGAGGTAAGAAGAGACTTGATAGAGAAGAGCTAGTGAACTGGGTTTTCCTTTTTCTGTTCTTCCAGTAAAAAGAATAGAAGGGGTCGGCCATGAAGAGGTCAAAGACAAATTGTAATGGTACGAAATCTTACTGCATACAGACGCTTCCAGCATATGAGGGTAAAAGTCTTTTTTTTTTTTTTAAAGTGTGGCAATAAATATTCTCGGATCCCTAACCAAAGGGAGCTAGACAACTAGGGACTCCATATCACCATGACTATACTGGCAGACCTTCTGGGGATGGATTTTTGGGTGTGACTGAGTGATTCCCAGCCTATGGGAGGGAATGTACCTGGCTTCTGTCAGCCCAGCACAGGGGCAGGAACTACCACTAGATGGCCCAGTGTGAAGTAGTAACGATGCCACACGTTTAAGTCAACTTTGTCCAAAGGAAAGCTTAAAATCCAATATGTGTAGCTTTCTAGTTCAGTTTTAGAAAAGAAGAACACGAACAAATTCAGAAAGAAAAAATGTTACAGGATAACTATTGAAGCTGGCTTTAAATGCTTTCTCCATCCCCAAGCACAAGAGAAATGTGCCACAGAACAAAGATACTAGGCACTAAGTCAAACTTTTCCCCTGACTAACTGGCAAGGAAAGGAGGCCAGTGTAAGAAAAAAAATAATCTTTCAGGTGGGCAGACTGTAAAGATAATAAGGAAGAAAGGAGGCAGCACAGTAAGATGGAGTGGGGGCTAGGCTGGAAGCCTCTTGGCAGGGCTCTGTGCTTTAAGACCTTGGCGTGTCCCTTCAGCCTAGGCATCTGTCTGCTCAGCTTTAAGACCTAGGTTATCTCCACCTCAAGTTCCTTTGAGTTCTAGGAATCCATGGGTTTTATTCAACTGAGGTTGGGGAATTTACACCTGGAGTCATGTTGAAGCTAGTCAACCTAAAAATTTGGGCTTTATGTGGTGAAGGACTCAATAGTAAGGTTTTGTTTTGATTTGTCTTGAAAGTGATAAACCTGCCAAGAATCAGTGGATCACTTGATCATGCTACAGCAGGTATTGTTAAGGATGGAAAGGTGATGTTAGCCGAACTTCTGAGAGACAGTGCAGGACTGGGAAGAGGCAGGGCAGAGGTATTAGGACAATTAGCACAGATCCTGTCTTGAATCTGATTAAGCAGTATGGTATTCGTACGTGTTGGAATTGGATAGCCTCCACCCCAAAGTCACCACGAGCAGACTTAACCATCTGAGCGTTGTTTGGCCGGTGTGCATAACCTACTCTGATTCCCACCCTAACACTAACCAGGGTCAGCACAGACCCTGAGAAGAGTGGAGTCTGCTGCTTGTCCAGCACAAAATTTATTGAAAAAGGAGCACTACAATATTATTTTGGGATTGGGATTGGGGGTGGGGGTGGGAAGCGAGGGGGAATAGGGACATGATAGCATGGTCTCCATAGAGAAAGTGAGTTCTGATTCCACGAGCAGTAAATGAGCACATGGATCTCTATCAGGTATAACTTTTATAGACTATAATAAAGCTTCTGACAAGGTTCTGCCGTAAAGACTATAAAAAAGGTTATAATGGGATTGAAGAGAGATTCTGGTCATGAATAAGAAAACTGACTTAAAACCAAAGGTAGGAGATAAGGTATTTTTTGGATCAAGAGGTTTTAAAAGATAAATACTAGAAACCAGCCTTATTAAAGCAGGTGGGTATAGAGTGACCTCTGTAGGTGTGTTGACAATACTTGTTCAGGAGAGAAAACTGCATAAGCTTTGGGAATAAGCTGGAGAAGGTTCTTATGTGGTTCTATGAGTGGAAAAAGAAATAATAAGCTTCTTTGTGAGCCAGAGTATATGTGATGTGTTAGGGGGAAATAGTCCAAACTATTCTTGAAATGTAAGCTGTTACAATCCAAAAAAAGGTTCTGGAAACCACTGACAGAAAAAATTCACCCACCATGCCAGCAAATCACTGTGCATGACAAGGACAGCAGGAAACAAAACCCCAGACTCTAGGCCACCCCCACTGGCAACACCACTTGCGGTTTTTGTCAAGAAAGACAAAACTCTAGCAACTGTTTATAGAAGGATGAATAAAATTATTATGGGGATAAAAGGATCTCTGTGAGGTATGCCACAGAGGTTCAGACTATTAGTTAAAATTGGGTATGTGTTTCTGTGTAGAAGATGTTAACTGAAATGTGCTACAACTAGCCAATGTGAATTTTCACCAAATACTAGAACATACCACTTGAAGCCAGAAAGGAAGAACCGAGGAACAAATGAAAGTACTACGTGAAGGTATAAGAATTTTCTGAGAGCACTAAGAGGTGGTACACGCTGACAGTGTGAATAGGTTTAAGAGGGTTAAAGTGAAGGCTCAGTCCAGGAACTGCAGCAGAGGTGGGGTGCCTCCTACCTTTTGAGGAGACTCCCAGAGAGGCCAGCCCTCTCTTCATACAGTGGTCCTGGGAAGAAGCATGGGCCCACCCAGGAGAGTATGCCTCACTTGGGGAAGAAAGCTGCCCTTTGTGGAATGATCTAAGTCAGCACAGCTGACTCGGCTGCGTTTTTCACTCTTCAGGGTACATGCTTTAAAATTGACCGGCAGTGAGTACTGAGAAATGTATGCAGTCTGAAGATGTCTGTGTATCTGTTTACATCCAGAGTTCTGTGACACATACCGCACCAACCCAAAACACTGTCAAGTAATTGATTGCACTTCATTAAGCTTATCTCTATAGGTAAAAGAACAGGTTTAGGTGGGGACTGGCCTCTAGGCTGCTGCTGTGCCCTGTGTCCCAATGTGGCTCATTTCCCTGTCCACTGCCTCACTGATGTGCCCAGGGGGAGTGGTGTTTCCATCTTTTCCATACTGACCTGCAGTCTGTACATGCTAACCTGAAAGAAGAGTAGCTGTAGCTACAAGGGAAACCTGACTGGGATAGTTGAGCACCTACACCCACGACCGCTCTTGGCCTTGGAACGAGTTAATGAAGGCAGAGGAGCTTTCTTCGCCACTTCCCGTAGCAGAATGCGCCGTGCCGCATACTCATCCACTCTCTGGGATAAATAGGCTGGTTTAACCATTGGAATAGATTGTTTAGAGGAGACCCCTGAGAGTTTTGACAACCCACAGACCAACCCCTCCCCTCCCTTTCCCCATCTGATACAGTGTTTGGATAGGAGGGTACGGTGCTGCTCTATGTAGCAAATATTTTGGCTTATCAAAGAGGCAGCCAGGCATTTTGCATTAGGAAGAATCAGTGATCACTTTTCAGAAGACTTATGGACCACAAATATATTACGGAGGAACAGATTTTGCTAAGACATAATCTAGTTTTATAACTCAATCATGGATCAACCATATGTAGCTAACTTGCAGTTTAAAGGGATCCCATCAATGAAAAGAAAACAGCTTTTTAAAAACTGACTGCTTTTAGTTGAGAAAGTCATCTCTTGTTAAACGGTTTAAACTTGCCCACCTTGATCTTAAAAGCATGTCAAACAATCCATGTCAGATGCCATAAATATGAACTGCAAGGGAAAATGGTACAATCTTAGTGAATGCGAATTGGAATCAAAAGGGTTTGCTGTCCTTCTTAGAATGTTCTAAAATGTCAAGGCAGTTGCTTGTGTTTAACTGTGAACAAATAAAAATTTATTGTTTTGCACTACTCTGCTGTGTTGGCATGAAATGACTCAGGGCTTTGGGAGCTTACAGGCAAAAGTAGGGGACTAGTCCAAAGGTGTAAAACCCAGGGGTCTGGATTGGTGAACTTGGGTGGTGGCTTCTGGCTTTAGTCTCTCCAAGACCTTTTTGCTTTGGCAAATCATCTGGTAAACAGCCACAACTCCTACCTTTATCTGCCTCGAATTCATGCCCTTTCCTAAATGGTGGCATGGTGGTATGGGAGGAAGTGACTTGAGTCGTCTCTATCAGAGAAACCCTTAAAACCAGGCAGGCTGCTTGGTTCTGCACTGCCACCACATTTGCCTTCTGTGCATGTTTGAGTTTCTAGGGGTTTGTCGTGTTGGTTTTAATACAGTCCTTTGGATGAAACCCCACTGACATTTAAGTTGCCAAGATTTTAACAACCCTGAGTCTTGCTAGTTACATTTTGTGAATGTGCCAAGGGGAAAAAGTGCAGCTACTAGATACCACCTTACATACGCTGTTCAAGTGTTTGGAAAGAAGCAGGAAACTACCTCTAAGCAAGTGAGATCCACCCTGGCCTTAAGACGTCTCAGCTTGGGGAAGTACTGGGAAAGGACCGGTGATAAAGCACTCTGTGTGCAAGCTCATCTTCCACTGACTGCTTCTGCCTGGTTGCTCTTGAAATCAGTATTGCTGTGCCATTTTAATGGCAGAGGCAAGTTCCTCCCAGACCATTGAGACAAAGACATGGAGGTGGCAGTTTTTAATTTGGAAAATTTGGATTTTGTCTCTTACTACACAAGGAGTTACTTGCCACCTTAGGAGAAATGTTTAAATGCTGGCCTTCTATAGATCTTTGGCACGAACCTCTTGGACGAACCTCTTGGACACAAACTCTTTCTGGAGATGGTATATCTCTATCTGGGGCCCTGGTGGTCAGCAGTTGGACTCTAGCAGCTGCTCCTTGGAAACCCTATGGGGCAGTTCTACTCTGTCCTGTAGGGTCGCTATGAGTCAGAACTGACTGAGCGGCAATGGGTTTGGTTTTGTTTAGGTTTTTATATCTGTCTATAGCAGTGTCTCTCTTTGCTGGTGGTTTTGCTTGTGTGGCTATAGCCTGATGGCCTCTGATGTCTTAGGATAAATGTAGGTTTTCTTTAAGGGATAAATCCCAGGAAATCAAGCTAGGCAGAGAGGTGGTAGAACACTTTATTCTTGACTGTCTCCCCCCGAGGAAGAAAGAATACAGAAGCTAAGTCGTCCCCTGTGAAGGGAAAAACCAACAGTCAGACAGCACTTCTGGCAAGCTCTGCAGCTAGTGACACATTTTACAATGTTTGGGCCTCAATTACGTTGGGATAACCAGGTAATCGTCTTCGCACAAGAGCCACAAACTCAGAATTCTTCTGACTTCTATCATACATCTCCTTCTCATAAGTAAAGGAGAGGGAAAGGTGGGTTTATTCCCCTTGTGGCTTTGGTCCAGAGACCCAAACATACTTAGGAAGTTCAACATGCCAATCCTCACAACAACCCTGTGAGGTGGGAGCACCCCTGTTTTGCTGAGAGAGGCTGTGTGTTGCCAGAGTGGTCGCATGGTAGGAGACAGAAGCCTTGCAGTCTCCTCCAGCCTGACCACTCAAGGTGGACAACTGGAGCCCACAACCTGGGTAGGCCTGGCAGAGGGCAGGGCAGCGGCTCAGAGAGGACCTGGGTGGGGCAGGTCCCTGCCCTTCCTCTTCGCCAGCCTTCCTCGGACACCCTCTACCAACAACACACGGTTCTGGCAACTTGTGTGAGTGGGATCCTCTTCCATCAGCACAGAGCCTGACACTTAGAGGCAAGGAAAAGTTAAAAGCAAGTTAAAGCAAGAGAGGGAGAGAGATTCTCAATAATATATTTGCCAGCCCCTCTTGGGGTTAATAATGTGGCAGGGACTATAGTACCAGTGAAAATGGATCAACCATTGGAAACCAAATTAAATAACAAAGCTCCCCCACCATACCCAAGAGGTCACTGGCTTTGATTTACAGTTTCCCACCAGGTGGTCTCCAGGAAGGTTTTAAACATGCTTTGTCTTTCACACTAGATTTGAGGCTGGTTTTTGGAAGTTTCCTATGTTTGTTTGTTTTTAACGGAGTCTGGGTGTCTGTGGTCTGGTGAGGACAGGTGGCTCCCATGCTGCATTTGGTGCTTGCCGGGGGGACACTCACGTGCTGCAGCACTTTGCGTGGCAGCTTCTCTGAGTGGGCGATCCATTCTTTCATTAAGTCTAAGACTATAGGGATAAGACTGACCACGCCTCCGTAGTGGTTCCTGGCCTCATCGCAGCTGAGGTGGTTCACCACATCGTGAGGATATCTGCAGCACAGTAAGAGAGGACCAGATGAGCACGCGACTCCAGGGACTTGCTACCGAGTGTAAAGCAACTTACAGACTTTAGGCACGGGCTTCTGGTCCTGACTGCACATCAGAATCACCTTGGGAGGTTTTAAAACTCTGCACACCATGCTGAGGCTCTCTATTCCCGAGGATTCTAGTGCAGTAGGTTCAGGGGCCAAGAGCCCAGGTAATTATGGTATGAAAAGCAGAAGCTGACAACCACTGACCTGGGGTTTTTAGAAGCCTGGATTAGGGGCTGTTGAAACCTGCTGTGATCCTTTCTAAGTATGCTGTGTAATCCCTTTGATGTTTCCTACCCTGGCATCTAAAGAGCTTCCTTGAGAATTGGTACATTGTGTTGTGGGTTTCACAGGTGTCAACTGGGGAACCTACAGAGGCTGATGCCCATGGGATGTGGGCTCCAGAAGTGCATATTCTGCTTGCGGTCATTCGTTTGACACAGTAAGGCCAGAGCATCTAACTGCTGGTCTTTCCAAGATGCCCCAGGGAGCCCTATCCTGGTCTGTCCAATCCCAATGATCCCTGGCATCCTGCACAATGCCTGGCACACGGGTGCTTGGGAAAAATTGGAATGGCAGTTTGCTGGGGCTAATGAAAGACTCAAACTGATGTGAGGACATTAAAAAAACATTGAAATTATGAGCACTTTGGGTAGATGGGCAGGATATGGGGATTCCATCTCCCAAATATCTTAGGAAAATGGGTCTATAAGGACAAGGTCAGCAGGCTGACACATGGGTAGGCTGCTTCCTGTCCACTGTCCACAGTGGTTCTAGACTTAGAGCTCACAAGTTTAAAAGATTAAAACAAAAAAATCAGGTAACTGACTTAGGATTGCCAGTTTTTCATTTTGCCAAGAAGGTGTATTACCAAAAGTCTGCATAACTTGAATGGTAGTTATTTCCTAAAAGAAAGGTCATTTCAACACTAAAGAGGAAGGACAGACAGAATCTGTTCTACCTTCACGGACACTGTCTTTTTCTTTCTCACTTCTTTGCCCATCAGTGAGGATCTTTGTGGGTTTCTGGGAACAACTGTTCTGGAACCCCTTTTCCCTTTGCCTGGTGCCAACTTCTGTGAGACACTGTGTGTCCTGTCACATCTACAGCCTCAGAATCCTTCATATCCTTAAATCAAATGTTTGGTTGAGCCAGAGTCATCCCAATAAATTAATAGGGGCTAGGATTTCCCATGTAGGGAAAATGGGAACATTAGCAACCTGCTCCCCAGCAACAGAGGAGAGAATCAGTTCAGACTATGCTGTCATCTGAACCCCTAAAAGCCTGCTCCTTCCTCCAGGACCCCGTTGTCTCCTACCTGCATCCCCCCTCACCCCCACCACCACCACCTACACATGCTGGAGCCCCAATAGCAGGACCAGAGGGACTTACTTGGCTCTGAGGCTGCTTAAGTCACTGCTTTGGCTAACAAGGGTTTTGCATTTTTCTAGGAGGCTGTCGGTGACTGGGGTGCCCGAGTGCAGAGCTTCGAAGTGCTGGCAGAGCTTGTTCAGCTCTGTACAGATGTCCAGGAACATGAGCAGAATCCGCCGGTCCGTGGAGTTGTTGCAGTAGTGCTCCATGTAGCTCTGCACCTGCAAAGGCACATGATGTGAGCGGGGGCAGCGCCCACAGGGTCCCCGTTCCTTTATGGGCAAACACCCAGGAGCACCCCCCCATACCCTCCCACACTCACAGATTCACGGCATGACCCGATATGCTCTGGGAGAGATGCTGGTCACATTCAAGCATTGTAACGTACAGCTAACATCATCAAGTGTCCTAGGCACTATGCGAAATGCTTTACAGGACTGCTCTCCCTTAATCCTCACCTAAACTCTTATGTGCTGGGCACCTTTTTTATTTTCATTTTAAAAGATGAATAACCTGAGGCTCAGGTGAAAAACCTGCCCAGTGGAGCCCTGGTGGCACCGTGGTTAAGAGCTCAGGCTGCTAACCGAAAGGTCGGCAGTTGGAATCCACCAGCCACTCCTTGGAAACCCTGTGGGGCAGTTCTACTCTGTCCTATAGGGTCACTAGGAGTCGGAATCGACTCGACAGCACACAACAACAACAACAACAACAGGGTACCACAGTGAGTGGCTGTGCTGGATTTCAACCCCTGGCTCTGGCTCAGAGCTCTTAGTCCTCACCAGTCCCCATGCCACCTAAGCTGACAACTAAAGCAAAAGGGGGCTGGTCCCTAGGCTTTTCAACATAGACCCACTCAGAGGACCCACTTTTTTTTCTTTTAGTCTTTATTCAGTGTATTTTTTAGAAATAATCCTAAATTATAACTTTCTTTTTTTTTTAAATTTTATTGTACTTTAAGTGAAAGTTTACAATTCAAGTTAGTCTCTTATACAAAAATTTATACATACATTGTTGTGACCCTAATTGCTCTCCCTATACTGTAACAGCACATTCCTCCTTTCCACCCCTGATTTCCCATGTTCAGAGGGCCCACTTTGAGAACTACTGGGTTGTGCCACCAGACTTAGGAGGAAAGAGAAGGAACTAGAATCCACTGGGGCTTAGCTGTACTGGGTTTCCAAGGTAGACAAAGGAAGGACAAAGGAGAGAAATGATTATCCATCTGGGAAAAATAAAATTTGATTTCTCCTTCACACCACAGACAAAAATCTATTCTAGAAGGATCAAGAGCTCTTAAATATCAAAATAAAACTTTAAAACTCTCATGTGACTATTTCTGAGATGTTGCAGTTGGGAAACCTTTCTTACGTCATAAAAGGAGCTAACTGAGACTATTGATAGGTCTGTTATACTTTCAACTCTTTTCCTCGAAATGGAGCTGGGGATCCTTCCTGGATTGGGCTGTGTCCAGAATTACCTGGGATCCCACAATGACTTTGTATATGAGGTCGGACAAGGGTGCGAGGCCTGACTTTGTGCTGGGGAGGAAATGGCTATGGTCCTGGCAGGATTAACCATTTCACAGTCAAATATTTCTCCTATTCTCCATGATCTGATGGAAGGCGAGGTGTTACCTGCCTCCTCCAGCACCTAAAAAGTCCTAAGTCTAAACCAGGGTTTTCCTGCTGCAACCAGTTGCCTTTTTGTTATTAAGAAATAACTTTCCCAAATGGTCTGAAGAGGTTCCTTCCCAAGTATTGCCAGGCACACAGTGGCTCTGTAAGCAGGAAGAGGGCTTTTGACATCCATTGAGCATCTCATACACACCACTGGCAAGTGCATGGGGACCTGCAGGGGCCAGTGGGAGGACTCCGCACCACAGTGTAACCACAACAGGGCAGCAGAGGCTTGTGGCTACCTGGTGTGTATGCAGGTAACCGCTGGCTACCTGAGCCAGCTGACCTCTCAGGGAGGGGAAGGTGAGGGCTGAGAGTCAACACTTCAGAGCGAGAGTCAACCAAAGCCTTTTGAAGCTAAGGCAAGAAGACCACTCCCTTCTGTGACGGAGGGGGCTGGAGTCACACAGCACTGATGGAGATTCTGAGGGGGCTGGGATTGGGGAGATGGGATCTCAAGTGCTCCTTCCTCACCACTGTTGGGTGCCCTTGGAAGTCTGAGCTTCTGGGGATCCTAAAAAGGATTTAGCAAATTTACTTGCAAATTGAGGGTGGGAGAAGGGGTGTGTGTGTGTGTGTGTGTGTGTTAGGGGAGAGAGGGAGAGACAGAATGCACAAATGTGGCTAAATGTTAAAAAACTCGCGCATCTAGGTTAGGATTACGTGGGTGTTTGTTGTACTATCCTTTCAACTTTTCTCTACATTTAATATTTTAAGGATGCTGCTGGCAGGGCTGTCTCCTTCCCCGCACCCCCGCTGGTTCTCTGCAGCCCTGTGTGGGTTTCTCCTAAGTGGTTCTGAGCACTATCCTCCCATCATCCCCTCTCACCCCTTTGAACAGTTATCCTGACAAGCAGACTCCTCTGCAGGCAGGAGTCTTTTCAGTCTGAGGATTGGCTTATGTGTGTGTTCCTAACTGCACTGTGGCTCGAGCCTGTCACCAGTAACTGGGAGGCTTGTTCAGTCCCCCAGAGCAAACTTGGACAGCAGTCTGTCCCCAAAGGGACGTGGGTTAAATAAAATAAGATGCTTGGCATTAGTTTCTCAAATTGCAGTGGAATCTGATGGCAGAGACCCTGTCTTGTCTGGTCACCAATATATCCCCAGTATTTAGCCCAGGACTTGGCACATAACCCTGGACGCTGGTTGAGTGCTTAGTAAGAGCCAGCCCAGGGCTGAGTGTTTCCTGTGGGTGAATTCAGTGAATCTGCATAACAACCTGACGAGGTGTTGGGCTATTATTCTCATTTTACAGATGAAGAAACAGAGGCTTTGAGAGGTGAACTCACTGGCCAAGGTCACAGAGGTAGCGTATGGTAGAGCCAGGATTTAAAACCTGGCAGTCTGACTCTTGAGCCTATGTTTTTAACCGCTATGTTATTCACCCAAATATTTGGTGGGGGGATGAATAAATGAATGAATTATCCCATCAGTCAATATCTGAGTCCTGATTCTGGCATCAGCTTACTCCCCTCTGTTATGGATTGACTTGTGGCCCCGAAAGTTTATACTGAAGTCCTAACCCCTGGTACCTGCGAAGGTGACCTTGTTTGGAAATGGGGTCTTTGAAGATGTTATCAGTTATGTTAACATGAGGTCATACTGGAGAAGACCCATTGCCATTGAGTTGATTCCAACTCATAGCAACCCTATAGTACAGAGTAGAACTGCCCCCATAGGATTTCCAGGGAGCAGCTGGTGGATTCAAACTGCCAATCTTTTGGTTAGCAGCTGAGCTCTTAACCACCGTGCCACCTGGGCTCCATGGGTCCTATTCCCATCTGAGTGGTGTCCTTATAAAATAGAAGAGACACAGAGAGACAGAGGGAAAACAGCCACGTTATTAGGAAGTCATGCTGCAGCCGCAAGCCAAGGAATGCCTGGGGCTACAAGAAGCTGGAAGAGCTAAGAAAGGATATCCCCCTCCAGCTTTTGGGGAGAACATGGCCATACTGAATCCTTGAATTTGGACTACCAGCCTCCAGAACTGTGAGACGATAAATTTTTGTTGTTTAAAGCCACCCATTTAGTAATACTTAGTAACGGCAGCCCCAGGAAACCAGTACAGCCTCTCTAGGCCTCCGATTCTCAGCTTTCAAGCAAGGGGGGTGAGCTCGGATTCTTAGGGTCGGGCAGGTCCCGTGTCCCCCAGCCCCAGCCCGCCTGGGAGGCACCACCTGTCCTATGCTGGAGATGGGCCGGATCTTGTCATGGGCATTTTCTCTGCAGTGCTCCAGAGCAGCGATGAACGTGAACTGCTGCTGCTGGAAGAGCTTGTATGTCTGCTCGATGTTTCGAAGGGATTCTTTCACCTCATTCATTGTCTTCCTCGGGGGTCACTGATGAGAGGGCAGGAATTTCTGGGGAAAGAAAGAGGGAAAAATGAGATCCCAGGGGCCAGTGTGCGATGTAGCTCTGGGGTCAGAGAGGAGGATGACGACAGCCCCTCTCCATGGAGCCCTGTGCTCAGCATCTCCCCACAACCCTGAGGGACAGGTACTGTTTTCACCCCCATTTTGCAGAGAAGGATATGAGGCGTTGGGAAGCCACACCACTTGCTCAAGATCCCACAGGTTATCCACAACAGAGTTGAGCACTGACCCTCATCCATCTACCCTCAGAGGACACGTGTGTGCCATGAAATGTGACTTCCTTTCTTCAGCTGTGGACAAATAGTTTCTCTCTGGGCTCCTCAGTTTCTCCAGATTGGGTATCTACACACACACACACACACACACACACACACGCTCACACACACACACGCTCACACACACACACTCACACGTTCAGGGCAGCCCCCAGCGCCTCCTCATGGTGTCAGCAAAATCTAGGAAAAAGGAATGTGCCACAGGATGTAAAACCAGCAGAATATCGGTTTGGACCAAATTATAAAAAACATCTGTCACTCTGCAACTGGTGGGGAAATCTATTCTTCTGCAGCGGGCTGAGTGGGCAGAGGGAAGAGTCAGCACTTGGTTGTCTTGTTTCAGATCTGAATCTCCCTGCTCTGTGCTTAGGGCAGGTCAGGGACACTGATCTCAGGTTTGCTGAGTCCCAGGGCAGGGGTTAAGCACCAGTTGACTCACTCATGGCCTCCCATGTTAATTGCAATTAGGGTCCTGAGGAATAGGAATATTAAGGCTGTGGGGAGTACTCTGTGTTCATCCCTTACACACAGTCCCTGGTGGGACTCAGGCCACAATGTGTCTTGCACCCCCACTGTGAGCAGAGGCGAAGAAAAAGCTGTGGGCTCTGCCCTCCCCAATGGCACAATTTTGTTGAGTGCATGCAAAATGCTCCAGATCATAGATTTATGGAATATTAGAGCTGGAAGGGACCTCAGTAGATCAACTCCCTTTAACTTCCGGGGGGAAACTGAGGCCCAGAGAGGACTTGTCCAGGGTGTCACAGCGAGTTTGTGCTGGAGACACCCTAGCTCCCAGGTTTCCTGACATCTAGACCAGCGTCCTCACTACTGCCACATCGGGTCGCCCCTCCACCAACAAAAGATCCCAGCACAAAAGGAGTCCTGTTTTGAATGTGCCGGCCTGTGCCGTGTGAGCAGTCCAAGTGGGAAGGGGGAAGGGGCCAGAATACTTGGCAAGGTCAGGGGTGGGGAAGGACACAGTCCAAGTTTCCAGGCAGGTCCCAGGTGGAAAGGATTGAGAACAGGATAGAGCCAGAGTCATTTCTTTCTGCTGTGTCTCCCTCAGCATCCTGAGCCCTGAGCAGGGCTGGAGCCAGAGTGGCGGTCTCTATGGCAAGAGGGATGGCATCAGAGGTATGAAAGGAAATGCAAGAACAGACCAGAAAATGGCCTCCACCAAATGACAGAAGCAGTAAATCAGAGAACTTGGGGAGGGCTGGGACGAGGCCCTTTAGCGATTTGGAGGCGAGCCCGTGAAGCCACAGCCACAGCTGGGAGCCAAATCGCAGCATGGTTGTCATAAAGGAGCTGCACAAGGAGGGACCCTGACGATCGCACCCATAAACCCGAGTGGGTCTACTACAAATACAACGGGGCCAGCTTCAGCAGCAGTGGCCTGAGGCCGCTCTTGGGAGCCATAGCGCCTATGTTTGCCAGCAGATGCAGGGCAGCTGGAGCTCCACTGTGAGCGAGTCCTGGGCGAGGCAGGGTAGCAGCCTCCTTCCAGCTCAACCTCCTCGGCACTCAGCTCCCCACCTGAAGTGGGCAAGTGGGGTAAGGGGAGCCTGGGCTGTGGTGGAGGGGTTGGGGTAGGGGCCCACTGCATATGGAGCAGCTGCTATGCCCATGGCTGGGCCCCCTCTTTCCATGGGGGCAGAAAGGGAGCAGTGGTTTTCTGTTGTGTCTCCCACAGTGTCAGGCTTACCAGAGCCCAGCCTCCCTCACAAAATGTAAGAGGGCACCAAAAAAAACAAAAAAAAAAACAAAACTCCTCAGCAATCAAGACAAATAATATTTTAATGCAATATTAAAAAAAAAAAATCCACTAAGAACAAAATAGAATTTTAAAAGACAGGATGGGTTACAGCGCTGTGCTGAGCCATATTAGAGCCTGAGGCAAAAGGAAAAATCAATAATACTGATCCTGTCTATTTAAAATTTTGGTATTTTATTCATCATAGGTTTTCTGGCATTAATTTTTATTTCTAAAAAATGCTGCATTAAACTATGATTTATTTTGATTACTGAGTTTTTTGGCACCTCCCTAAATCGTGCACCTGAGGTGAGTGCCTCACTCACCTCACCCTAGTTTACCAACTACCCAGGAGTTGAAGACCTAGAAGACTCAGAGAAAGGCACACAGGTGGGCTTCCAGGAAGAAGTGTGCTTTGTAGCCTGGCCTTTTCACCACAATGTTCAGAACTGCGGTTGTTGGTGGTGGCTAAGAAGTCTGGAGTCTGAACCTCAGTGTGCTAACATGCTGTACCCCATACCTGTACCAATTCCGACTCATAGCAAGCCTGTAGGACAGAGTAGAACTGCCCCATAGAGTTTCCAAGGCTGTAATCTTTATGAAAGCAGACTGCCGCCATCTTTCTCCCATGGAGCGAATGGTGGGTTTGAACTGCTGACCTTTCGGTTAGCAGCCAAGCGCTTAACCACTGGTACGGAGGTAATAATAGCATCAGCCCCCTAGCCTTGGGGTGAGCATTACATGAGACGACAGGTGTTAAGGAGTGTACTGGTAAGCTTGGAATGTGGTAATGTCCAGTAGTTGAAGCAATTAAAGCTACTGTGGCTAAACTGTGTAGGCAGTGATGGGGGGGATGCCACATGGTGGTGTGCGGGGTGTGGGAATATTGTGAGCAGATGCAGAAGAGGACAGTGGACACGGTCAGGCCAAGGGGTCCCAAGTGTCAGGCTAAGCCATTGGAAGAACGATCAAAGGCTTCTAAGCCAAGGGGATGGAAAACACTTCATGTATTCATTCACTTGTTCATTCATTCATCCTACAGTGCCTATCATGTGCCAGATACTACCTAAGGTGTTGGGAGTAGACAGCACTGAACAAAATAGACAAGATTCCCTTCCCTGGAGGAACTCATCTTTCAGAGTGGGAGGCAGACAGTAAGGATAAATGGAATATATAGTCAGTTAGATAAGGGCACTTCTAAAGTGAAAAATAACACAGGGAAGCCAGCTGGGAATGTCAGGACTGAAGGGCAGGGAGGCTACATTTGCAGAAGGCAGGTTGGGTGTGGTGCAGGGTGAAACAGCATTGTGCTCCAGCCCTCAGTGAGGTGCTGGACTGATGGAGAGTGGCTTGCCCCACCCCCCAATAACAGCAGGTCACTTGGATAGGGCACTTACTTGGTGCCAGGCCCCCTACGTAAATGCTGGGCATGCATCATCTCAAGCCCTTGCCACAGCCCTATGAAGTGGGTACCACCATCATCCCCACATGGCAGATGAGGAAACTGAAGTCATACACCTAGGAAGTAGGTGAGCCATGGTCCTTAGAGACAAACACGCCAGACATGAGATTAACTGTTGCTGGGGTGGGAGAGGGGTAGATACCAAGGGCCTGGAAAGTTGCCCAACCTCTCCTAGGGTTCATCCACCAGCTGGAGCCCTGAGCCAGACTTTTCCCTGTTCCCATTCCAAAGCAATAAGTACTAGTGTTCAGGGGGCTGCCCTTGTGTGCCTAGGTCCTTGCAACCCTTTTGGGATTTCCCGGGGCTGCCAAGTTCTCCAGGGATGCAGCCTTGGCTGGTGGCCCCAAGAGCCCGAGAGCAAAACTGATTTGGTTCTTGATCCTAGCAACCTGTGACATGCACACCACGAATGTCATGAAAGGAGCTGTAATAAGCTATCCAAAGTGATTGTGCCTTGAACGAGAGTCACTGCAGCCAAATTAGTAAGGATGAAAGGCATGGAGTGCAGGCACTTCTCTGTCTGGGGGAAGAGATAGGAAAAAGTGATTACCCAATAGGTTTTAGGCTTTAATTGATTTGTATTTTTCCAGGCTGCTAAAGAAGATTAAATCATGGTATGAAAAGCGCCTAGGGCTTAAAATAAATGAGGAGAAAGGCAAGTCATTTCAGAAATGTCCAGGAAGCAAACTGAACCTCTCCAGTGCAAATTGCAGGCTTCGTTGTTGTGTTCTTTGTTCACGGGGAGGCAGCTTCCTTTTTTTCCCCCGTCTGTCTTTGCAGTTAGGTCTGACAAGCCTACCAAGGTATGCACACTTTGAGGAAGTAGTTTGTGAATAGAGCAGCAGAACTGCAGCCATTTGCTGTCGGAGGGAACGTCTCTGGGCTGGTGGAAAAGGCTTTGGCCTGGGAGTCAGGACATTTAGTTCTAGCCCTGGCTCTGCCCTTGACCTAATTAATGGGTGACCCTGGCCAAGATTTTTCCCCTCTCTGGGCATCAGTTCATTCATCTGTAAAATAAGGATGTTGGATTAGAGACTTAACAAGGGACCTTCTGATCCTAATGTTCCATGAGCAACAACTGGTGAGGAAAGAGGCCCAGAAAGGGGAAATGTCTTGCCCAAAGTCACCCAGCCAACTAATCCTTTTCACTTCTCTGATCCTCCAAGTTTCTGTCTTGTAAAATGGATATAAAAGTACCTGTTTCACAGGGCTGTTGCAAAGATTAAATGAGATAAAGTTACACTAGTCCTCATGTATTGTACGCTTACTACATACCAGTTACTGTCTAATACTTCAGATGCATTGGCTCATGGAATCCTTCAATAAATCCCCATTTCACAAGAGAGGGAAGTAAGGCCAGAGCAATTAAGTAGTTTGCCAAACTCACACAGCTAGGAAGAGGTGGAGCCAGGATTTGAACTAGGGGTTGTCTACTGTCTAAGGACTATACTATATTCCCTCTCTATAATGTACAGTTTTGTTGAGAACCTGGCGCAAGAGCTCAACAAATGGTATTTCCTACTATTACTGGCAACAGACAAGACCTAGAGTTCCCAGTTCGGTGCACACCCAATACCAGGCTACCCTCGTCCCACTGGAAATTAGCATGACTAGCAGAGCTCTTTCCTCCCACCGCGCCCCACCCCGTCCCCGTCTAGGGGCAGCAGCGGCACTCCCTACCCCTCCCCATCCTCCCTCACCCCTCACCTTTCTCTCCCCTACCTCCCAACGCCGGAATCGGGTAAAGGAGTGGTCCCGGGCCGCTCTGCCCCAAGAACCCCAGCGCGCTTTAACCTTGCTCGTCCTACAGCAGCCTTCGCCTCACAGAGCGTCCAGAAGCTGGAGTGACTGCGCGGGTGTCTGAGGCCCCAGAGGGGCGGAGATGCCCTTCCCCGGGCTTGGGAGGTGGGGGCGGGGTGGGGTAGGGTGGGGAGGTCGGGGTAGAAGGGGTGGGGCCGCAGACCGGATTGTTACTGCTGGTGACATGGCAATTGGGTCACATGGCAGCCCTGCCCCACCCTGGGGGGCCAGTGGTGAGGTCACCTGGGGCTCAGCTGCCGGAGGCTCCGCCTAGGGTTTCCTGCGGGAACTTTGGCCCTCCGGCCTGCCCCATGGATGCACTCCCTCTTCAAAAGCCCTTACCCACATCTGATACAGCGCCTACATTTTACAGATGGGGAAACTGAGGTTCAGAGAGCAGAGCCAAGGTTCGCACAGGAGGCTTCTAATGCTTAGGCGGGTCGCCTGGCGGAACCGGAAGCAGGATCCGCCTCCTGCCCCCTTGGTTGGGGGTGCTGGTGGTGCTGACTTGCCCCTCTGAGGTGTTGTCGGGTGTCAGCATAGGGTTGAACCCTACGAGGGAGCACCTGTGATCCTAAAATGCCGCAGCTGGAAGTGACCTAAGTGTGGCCCCCGCTAAGATGCACAGTTAGAACACAGAGGCCAGGAGAAGGAAAAGAACTTCCCCAAGGCCGCCGAGCGCGTTTGTGGAGGAGTTCGGGGTGAGGGCAGCGGCAAGCCCAAGGATAGGGATTGCAACCGGGTAGGGCGCACAGAGCCTCAAGAGCGTGGCCAGCGGCGCGTGGTGATGACGCGCGGCCCCGGCGCGGCGGCCTTAGCGACGGCGGTTACTAGGAGCGGAGCGCGTTGCATCGGCGACATGGATGCGACCTCGGCCCCGCACTATATCCCCCCGGAAATGCCCGAGTACGGGGAGGCGAACCATATCTTCGAGATGATGCAGGTGACCTGGGCAGCCCTGCCCTGTCGCGACACAAAGGTGGCAGCTGGGGGAACCTTTATTGCGATATCAGGGTGCGCGGTGGCGCTCTCACAGCCGGGGACCAAGTTGCGCGCCCTCGTTTGTTAGCTACCTGGGCAGCCCAACTTGGGGTGTCTGAATCCTGTATCGCCATGACCCCGTGTTGTCCTTCAATATGAAGATACTTCCTCCCCCTACCTGAGTTCGCCTCTTTGGGTTCCAAGAAGAAAGAAAGTAGGCAGGCCCTCCTGGCTAGGATTTGGACCTGGCTCTGCCATTATCTAGCTTTATGTTCTGGAACAACTTCCTCTCTTCTCTGGTCCTCAGTTTCCTCATCTGTGAAATGAGAGGTTGCAAGAGGTCTCCCAGGGCTCATCCAGCGCTGACAATTGGGAGGCCGTCTATAGTGCTGGGAGCCCCAGCACAGGCTTCTGAGCCAGAGTTGTCCCAGTTTAAGGTGGCTACCTCCTGGGACGAAAGTCCTGTGGTTTGGACAGCAGCATTTCCCACCTTGCTCCTCTCCTTAGGGCCAGGAATTTGGGGCCACTCCAAAGCTCTCATCCTGGGTTTCAGTCCTGACTGGGCTCCCAGGTCACTGTGTGACTTGACGCAAAGCCTCTGTCCCAGTATCCCTTCATACACCCAGTGGAAGTCAAAACTCTGAGGATCTGGACAGGAAGAACTCTTAGCCACCCAAAGGTTCTGAGGGCCAAAGGGAAGCTGGAGCCCAGTTTCCAGAACATTTGTCTACTTTGCTGGGTACACCCTCTCCCCAGAGGCACAACTGTGGTGAGACTTGTGGTCATTTGAGCCTCAAGCCTCTGACCTGGACACACGAGACCAGAGCTCAGACTAAGAAACCCGAGTCTGTTTCTCTCTAGCAAGCATATACTTCCTTTGGAAAGTATTAACAGATAGAAGTAGAGAGAGATTCCTAAAGTTGTTTGGGTGGCCAGTCATAAGTAAAGAAAATGGCCAGCTGAGTGAATTAGAAGTTGGTGGTGGTGGTGGTGGTGGGAGCTGCTGGGGTCCTGTGGTCTATTTTGGAGAACCTGGTGTGTCTTTCATAGCAATCCTTGAGTGGGAAGGAGCTCGCCCAAGAAAGCTTTTAGTCCACTGTTTCCACTCTTTATTACTTGTGTACTCCCTTCATGGTTATTACCATTTTCATTTTTTTTAACACTTTATTTTAAAATAATTTTAGACTCACAGGAAGTCACAAAACAGAGTTCTGGTGTAGTCTTCATCCAGCCTCCCCCAATGATAACATCTTATACAACTGTAGTACTTGTCAAAACCAGAACATTGACATGCTTACAAAACTATTAACTAGACTATAGGCCTTATCTGAATTTTATCAGATTTTACATTCACTCATTTTTTTGATCTGTGTACAGTTCTATGAAATTTTGTCACATGTATAGATTCATATAACCACATTTCATTTTTTTCTAAATTGTTCCTTTAAATAAGCTCATTTGTAAAAAATTAAATAATTCTTTCTACCTCATCCTAAGCAACGTCCTTGAAGGTTTGTTGTACTACTTATTTTTCTAATATCATTAAAAGAAATATACAGCTATTTAAAATGAAATTAAAGGTATTCATTTGTGAACCATTTAAAATCATCTCGTACCATCTCACCAGTGGTACACAAGAACTGATTGAGTCCAACCTTGTCGTTTAACAGCTGGGGAAGCTGAGGCCCAGAGAGGGGAAGGACTTGCTGGTAATGTTCAGAACGGGGCTTGAGCCAGGACTTCTTGCAGTTCAATGCCCTTTTCACTGTCCACACTCACTCTGCCCTAAAAGGGCTAAAGCCCCTCCCTGCTTATTCCTAGAGCAGAAGGATGCTCCTTATTGTACCAGCCCAGCTCCTTCCAGTTCCAACAGTTCATTTCTGTGCTGTTTGTTCTGGAACTCTGGAACTTGCTTTCCTTTGATATGAATGCTGAATTGGATTAAATGGCCAGAATATCCCAGGACTAGTTAGATATTTGGCTGATAAATATTCTCTCCAGCTCTGGTGGGACACAGGTAGCAGTGATGGCCATGCCTCCCAGCAAACATCTGCATGGGCCACCTAGGCTGGGGTGCTAGAGGGCTCAGGCAGACAGTAAGGCCCACAGAACCCACGGCCTGGTGGGGGCGACAGTGGTTGGGGAAGCAAGGACAAGTAACAAGGGGCATGCACAGGACCTGCGGGAGCTTAGAAAAGGGCATTTATCTAATGCACACGATCAGGAAGGTGTGTTTCCATTGAGACCTAAGGACTGAATAGAAGTTAGCCAGGAGAAGAATGAGGAAGAAGCGTTCTAAGCTGAGGGAACAGCATTGCTAAGGTTCTGAGGTGGTAATGAGCACAGTGTATCAGGAAAACCCAGGAAGGCTTGTTTGGATGCACAGAAGGATCTAGGGGCAAAGGTCCTGGGGCTGCCTACTGTTCTGAGTCAGGGCGTGGTCACTCAAGCTCTGCCTCTCTCCAGGTGCCTCCCAGCAACACTCAAATAGCCCCCTTCATGCTTCTGCTCATGGGGACCCAAGCAGATGCCAGCAGGGCGGGGGCTGGGTTCTAGTTTGATGGAGTGTAATGGGAAGATCAGGCTACATACCTGGTATCCATGGCAGCCAGAATGCTGGGCCCACTGGGGTCCTGGGTGCCCATGCAGGTGTTAACCACCTAGATGTCTGCTCTATGTCTGCAGACCATGCTGGAGCAACTCCTGATCTACCAGCCCAAGGACCCCATCCCGTTCATGATCGACCACTTGCAGCGAGACAGTGATAACGGTGAGCACGCAGTGGGCTGCCTCCTCTGCCTCCTGGGAACCTGGCCCATTCTGGGAAGGCTATGAACTACTCTGTCCTACCTGTGTCTAAAGGGAGGTCAGAACATTGTGGGGAGGGGGTCTGACAACTTGAGGTAGTGGTTAATTTAAAAATGCCTTGATTGCTTTTTGTATACAACTAATAAAAATCCTCTTGCCAAGTTATTAAAATGAAAACCTCAGAGTGGCCCATGAAATCAATTATTAATGTTTTCATGAGTCCCAGCTGGTGTTGCCTGTAGGGTTTAAACTCTAATCATTCCACTTGTCAGGTATAAATTTGGTTTCTGGTCTACCTAGACAGCTGGGCAGCACTTCAGCTTTTCTAATGGACTCATTATTGGCACTCATTAATGAGTTCCAGAGTTTCCCAAATCTCAGCCTGAGTGCAGGTTGGTCAGACCCAAGGCTACAGCATGGAACCAGGGAGGAGGGAGGTGCTGAAGCAAGGCAGGCCTCTCACTCCATTCCATGGTTTGCCAAATAGAGGATCATTCCCGTCCTGCACGAACTGTCGGGGAAAACTGGTGTCTTGGAGCTCTGATGTTTCTTTCATTGGAGCATTAGCTGCTTTGAAGGAGTTACCAGCACACCAGTGATTTAGTGCTTGGCACAGCTGAGAGGGCTGGAGGCTGGAGGTACCTTGTGGTGGATTTTAGAAGGCTTAAGATGAGAAGTGATGCTAAGTACTTGAAAAAAAGAAAAGAAGGAGACTGCAAGCCTGCTGCTACGCCCAGCGTACCTGACCTTTTCAGCGTGCCGTGCGTGCAGGTCCTAGTGCATAATGCAGTCTCAGGCTTGATGTGGAGCAGTAGAGTGAGGGGCTTCTTGGGTCTGGCTGTCACATCATGGTCTAAGCAGTGTGGGTCCAAGAGAGCCCAACAGTGCCTTTCTCGAGCCTCTAGTGAAGCACAAATGTCCGATTCTCTGGGCATTCCTTCATTCAGTTGCCCCAGATAGACTGGGGTAGGCCAAGAGAACGCTCTTCCTGAGCCCTCCAACTTGCCTTCTCCTCAGCGCCCCCCTTTCCAGTGTGATTTACTTTGTTCTGCAGAAACTCTTCTAAAAGGTCCCTGTTCTCTAGTTGGCTATTTTTTCCATGGCGTGGGTAGAAGGTGTTGCCTCCTGATTCACCTGTTCTGCCCGCCCTTCCCTCTTGGCTGGTCCTTTCTGCTGCAGCCACAACTCACCATGTAGGCTTCACTGACTCAGGCTCCATCTGCCAGATGAAGGTGTTTCTGCACCCTCCCCACCCCAACCCTGGGATTATTTGAGCATTTCTGTATATGCTTAACTCTCTTTTACTGCCGTCATCAAATAAAGTACTAGTGAGGTAAACATAAATTAAAAGTAAAGCAAGAGCAAGTAAAAGTAAGAGCAAAGTAAAGTAAAAGTACAGTAGAGTAAAAGCGAAAGTAAATTTAAGGTAAAAGTTAATTGAAAGTAAAAGTAAAGTAAGCAAAGTAAAAGTATAGTAAAGCAAAAGTAAAGTAAGAACAAAGTAAAAGTAAAGTTAAAGCAAAGCAAAGTAAAAGTACAGTAAAGTAAAAATAAAAGTAAAGTAAGAGCAAAGTTAAAGTAAAAGCAAAGTAAACTGAAGTAAATTCATGGAAATGACTCCTTCAGTTCATTGATCTTCAGAATACCCCTATTCAAATGTAAAAAAACAGTGAGAGATCACTCATTTCTCTTGGCCTCAGTTGTCTCATTTGTAGTTCGGGCTTGTTTGGCTCAATAAGACAGAGGAGATGAGGCTCTTGGCCCAGGCAGCGGGAAAGATGCCATAACCTGCTCGGCTCAAGGTGATTAGGTGTTGAGTTTCAGTTTGTGAAAAGCTTAATAAGATTTTTCTAAACTGAAAATTGTATTCGACAATAACATAGCCTACTGAATTGTGATAAATTGGGTTGCAATGGGACTTCATACTGTTCATTTGAAAAATCCTACTTAGGGGCGTATGTGCCACCTCTGTGTTCTTGCAACACTAACTTCAAGACTGAGCCAGTCCCCCAGCTGAGAAATCCAAGAACCTGAAATTCAAGGCCTAATTATTTCATTTTCTCTTTGTTTTGATCTTGCTCCTCTGGGCAGATTTGATTTGTTAGTGTCACACTGTCTGCTTTACCAGATTTTAAAAATTCAAATGTTATCTTTCTGTTTTGGATGGAATGTGGCCAATGTCTGCTGGACAGCTGTCTTGGGCTGCTAGGTTTACAACCACCTTGGCCACCTCCTTCCTCCCCTTCACCACCTTCTAATGCCATCTTTGCCATGCCTTGCCATGCATTCATTCATGTGTTTTGTAGTTTTGCAGAAGCTGCTCTCCAGCCTTACTCCTTTCTCCAACATTACTGCTCTCCAGTGTTACACCTGGTCTGTTGGCCTTGAGCAGGGGTAAAGAATCCAGACCCGCTTCGTTTTAACTTCTAGCTAAGAGACAGCCTCCAGTCTGTCCACCTGAATAGCTGGAGTACAGTTCTTTGGCCTGGATGCTGTCTCAGGGAGTAGTCATTGGATCCCAGTAACCACCATTTTGGGGTGTTGACTTGTTTCCCACAGCCCTTGCACCCCATGCCCAGGCCTTGGGGTTTTATGGTTGTTGGAACACATCTGTCCTTTGGCTCAAGTCTCAAATGCTTGAATAAAAAGAAGAGACATTTGTGGTTCTTCCGCGTGCCCAGGCCTTGACTACTAAAGCAAAAACATGGAAGAAGGAGAGAAGGCAGGGAAGAGGACCTTGCTTTTGTGATTTTTCTAGGAATCAGGGAAGCCTAGAAAGAGTTTAGTCTTCTTATGTTATAGAAGAGTATACAGGAGGCTCGGAGAGTGTTTTGAGGCTGTCATTGACTGGGACCATGATCTTTGATGTCCAACATGCATTCTGGTTCACCTGGGCTAGTGCTTCAGATGGCCCTGCCTCCTTCCAACTACACAGATGGCCTGTGTTACCTAGAAGCCAGGGCCTCAGCTCTTCCTCGTACTGGGCATGGGTGTTGGGTGGGCAGGGGTTAACTGTGACACATAGTGATACGGCCAGTGACTAGTGTAGAGGGAGAGAAGACTCCAGACTTACCCTGGTGAACGTGCACGGGGGAGCAAGGGGGGCCACCGGCACAGGAGCTGGCAGCCACTTTGCCATGAGAAAAGCAGATTTAGTACAAAGTGAGCATTTACAGTAGCCCTGGGCAATATTAAAGCAGGCAATGGTGTATATAATGGTATGCTTCGTTTTTTATCAAACGTTTGTCCAAGAAAGCTGTGTATTAGAGCTCCAATACCTAAGGGTTTTCTTGTGAATTTTAAATCATGCTCCTAGTTAAGCCTCAAAAGGATCTGTGGATGGAAGGGTTTTTTGATTTCCTTTGAAGTGGTTTGAAGAAGTTGATTACTCTTGGCAGTCAAGCGGCCTTTGATGACACTGTTTATAAATAATTACTCATGAGCAGGGCTGGAGTTTCAAGGTGTTAGATTTTAAGAAACTGAAATTAATCACATAAATTTGTGTGAGAAATTAGGTGGGGAGAAAGGCCATGGCTGTTCCCCTTTTAAAGTATTTTCATAGATGCGTACAATTTGGGTGCCACTTACAAGAACCTGGAAAGGGAGGGTTTCCCTGCACCTTCAAACCCAGTAACTTTGTCAAGATGAATGTGTGATTTGGGAGTCTGACTCATTCCCCAAACATCCTTGTTCAGATGATGCCTCTTCCATCTTCTTGGTTCCATAGGCTCTGGCCTCTGTTGGTCTGGCCGGTGTTCAGAGGAGTCAGTGTGGTTAGAGGTCCGGAGAGGCAACCGGGTGGTAGACACATGAGCCAGACCAGGGCCCCCCTCTGCTCCTTTACCCTGAGCTTTGGCCAAGCACGTATCCCCCCAGTGGTCCTAGCGAGCCCTATGCTCATTACGTGAGGGCTTTCTACCCCTGACTACCCTCCCTGCTGCTCTGACACTGCCCCACCCCTCAAGCCTTTCGTGGCACCCCAGGTCCAATCTCACCTCATCATTTAGGCCTGACCAAGTGTCCCCAAAGCTACCTCATTTCCACACTTGTCCTGCAGACAGTGTTTTCTACCTGTTGTGGCTTCTCTCATCCAGGTAGTGGGTCCCAGAAAGCCTTGCCCTAGGTAATATGACCAGAGCAGAGAATGGGCCACCCAGCCACTGAATCCCTGCCCTGGCCCCCATTCCAGAAGCTAGAAATGCTTTCCCAGCTCCTGTGACCACCAGGGAATGGTGACCCGAGCTTTACTGGTTAGGTGCACCCAGACTCTGGATTGTGGTCTGGGTAATGTCCTCCCTGGTGGCTGTGCAGGATCTGGTTCCTGGGTTGTAGTGGTGGCATGGCAGGTGGCACCCCGTGGCTCACATATGTGAGCAGTGTTAGAGGCACAGCCACAGAGCCTGGTGCCTTGCGCAGCAGTGCTGTTCTCCCCAGACCAGTGGGTGGTCTTATTTGGAGTATCATTCCTGTAGGGTAGCCTGGCCTGGCTCCCCAGCCTGTTCAGGATTCTGAGCCACACTGACCTTTGAATAAACTCCTTCTCTGTTTGACTCAGCCACAGTTGGTTCCTGGGGCTTGTACCCAAGAACACTGACTGATAGAGGGAGCACTTTGTAAGTAAGTAGTAATGGTAGTGACAACAGTGACAGACACCTGGTGACCACAGAAAGAGGTGGGGATGGCCGAGGAGGAGGCTGCTGCAAGTGTTGCTGTGTGCATGGCTCCTCACTGTTCTGGCTGCTGAAGGGGCCGTAAAGAAGGATGAGACTTGGTTTCTGCCCTCAAGGAGCTTGCTGTCTGGTGGGGACAGCATTACCACAGGCTTCTCAGCAGTGGGACGAAAGAAACTTACCAGGGTGGAAGGTAAGCAACAGCAAGCCACTTAATCACGCACCTCCAGAGAGGAGCTGGAGCAAAAATCTCAGTGAAAGAAGAATAGCGGAAGCCTGGGGTGAGTACTGGGTGGGTTGGAATGAGGAGGACATTCTTGATGAGGAAATGGCAGGTGACAAGGTGGAAATGTGCAGGGAACATCTACAGGAAGAATGCGCAAGTCCAAGACTTCTTAGATTAAGGGATCTCCAGCTAGACCAAGGCTCTGGAGGGCAAAGCTGTAGGGATGACCAGGACATGTCCCAGCCTTCTGTTGAGGTCATGCCCCTGGAGATCCAAGGGGACTTAAAGGGACACAGAAACCTCTGGCCTACTGTTTCCACCATACTGTGGTGGGCAGGAAGCAGCCTAGCCTGAGCCTGATCTGGAGAGAAAAGTGTTTGCAATGGTTTGCTAAGCTGGATATCACAATATTTACCTGATAGTAGCTTAGGCTGGAGGAAATGTCCAAGTGCTGCCTTATCCAGGGTCTTCCTGCCTCTGATGTTTCTTGATTCATGTAGCCACCAACAGCAAAGGCTTTGCGAATAAGCAAGTTACCTACATTTTACATATTAGTGAGGTGGATGAACCAGATTTAGAAATGTGTAGAAATACAGAGAACAACAGGATGTTCTAAAGCAGTTATTTGGGAACACATAAAAATAAAATAAAAGTCAGATGTGTGTCCTCAACCTTTCATGTCCTTGAGGAGAGAGCAGTTCCCTTGCCAGAGACTGGGGGAAAGAGGATGACTGGCTCATTTTCAATTCTCATCTAGCATAATTACCTTACTCACTTGTCACCGGGGACCATGGTCCATCTTGCTTTCCTTAGCACCATCCAGCACAGTGCCAAGCTCAGAAGAGGCCTCAATAAGTGTCTGAAACGAATGAGTGAATTATCTTGAGCTTTTCTTTCAGATTTTCCCTAAAAATGAGAAAGTGCTGTGAACTTGGGCAAAGGTCTATTTAAACACAAGCAGCTTGGCTGGGGGAAGGTGTGCAGACTGTTAATCACTAGCCAAAAGGACACTGTCTAGTTCCTTCTCTGTGTCCACCCCAAAACTAGAAGGACATGCATGTCCCACTTCTTTGCATGGATGAGAAATCCTCCTGGTGGCCTGGCAGAAATGGCTTCTGCATATAGACTTAGAGGCTCAAGTGAGTTTGAATGGACATCTGCTTATCCACTCCCTTGGGTCAAGGGCCGGGCTAAGACTGTCAAAGGGACAGGGCTGGTTTCCCCACCCTCTGCTTCTGTACCCCTCCCTCCCACTGGTAGGGGAGAAAGGTGACATAACCACCGTGACATTCAGCAGGAAGTGTGGACCCGTCGGTCCAGACATCACATCTTGTTTCCTTCATTTTGACCCAAATGCACACACCTTCTGGTGCTATTCTTAGGATGGTGGTCTTTTCTTTTCCAGTCACCAGCACCTACTCGGTCTAGTGGCCACTTTAGGAATTCTGCAGGGCAAGAGCATGCCAGAGCCAGGACTGTAACACTGACGCAAGCTGCCGGTTTTTCCCATTTGCATAGAAATGCCCATATTTAAAAACAAAGACTTTCCTATCTTGGGTTTTATAAATCTGGTCCATACACTCCAGGCTTTTCCCCATTACTTCCCTCTGTAAAATGATGGGAAATACAATTTGCTAAATAAAAAGGCATAAATATAAAAAAAAAGTTTCAAAGTCAATTTACATAAAATACAGCATTATTTGAGAGAGCGTCCCCGAGACAAAGTCCCTGTTTAAAATGCTTTATGGTGTTTGAAATCCCAATTGTTCTTGATATTTATTAGTTTGGCAAACAAGTTACTGTGTCCATGTCCCCTTGGAGATAGAAAAATAAACCATCTCAGTGATCACTTACCTCTCTAAACACAGAGAATATGTTCTATGGTGAGAGCATCTCTGAGCTGCTGGGTTACAAATGGCCATGTCACTCACAGAAAATGAAATCTGGGGAGGAAAGAAATAAATACACGCAGAGTACTGCAGACATGGGAGGCTGCTTTGTCATACCAAGTGGTGACATTCACATTTTTTTATTCCACAGTGCCGAAGATTGTAATATTAGGTCCACCTGCCTCGGGGAAAACAACTATAGTAAGTGTATCATATTAAGTGTTATAATACTGTAATATCTCATTTATCCTACAAAGCTGGAATGAGATACTGCACCTCAGTGAATTTTCAACATAACTGAGCTTTTCTTCTTTTCCTTCTCATTCCTAACTTATTTTCTTATTACAGAAGGTAGCGTGTGTTCATAATAGAAAGCCTAGAAAATACAGAGAAAAGAAACCAAAAAATATAATTCCCCAACCATAAAAACAACTAATAAGTAAGCATTGTTTTAACGTTTTGGGACATATCTTCCAGAGTTTTCTCCATGCCTACATGTACACTGTCTGCACACTCTTCCCCCACGCCCCCCCCCCCCATTCTTGGTTCCTATTTTATTCAAAGGCAGCATTATTTATCCAGTGAGGAGGAGGGATTACATTTAGAGTCAGAAATCTTGGGTCTGCCTCCTGGTTCTGCCTTATGTGTATTTGACAACTTGGACATTTCACTGCGCTTCTTTAAATCTTAATTTCTTTGTCTTTGCAGCAGGAAACCATGTTTCCCTTTCAGGATTGGTGCTGGAATTAAATGAGGAAAAGGTGGTTTTAACAATATTAGTCCCTCTATTCCTCATCCACCCAGCCACCTCCAAACCCATCAGAAATTCAGCCCTGAGTGTACTCTTCATTCGCTCTTTGGGGTAATTTTCTAGAAGTAGAAATACTGGATCAAACAGCATGTGCATTTCAAAAACTCTTAGTATGGAATCCTAAGATCCATTCTTAAAAATTTTAATTATGAAATATGTCAATCAAAAAAATATAGGAAATATAGATACTTATGTGCCCCAAACCCAGATATTACAGAAATTTATCATTTTTCCATTTTGTTTCAATTGTTCTCTCTCTATGTTAAAATATAACTATAAAGATACAGCCAGTACCCTCCTCCCATCCCAACCCACCCTCTTTTTTGTTCTCTCCCTCCCAGGAAGCAACCACTGCCCTGAAGCTGATGTGCTTCATTCCATCTACATTTTTAATCCTTAAGCTTCATTGTTTTAAGTGCCAAAACTTGTTAAAATTTTCATCATCTGAGACGGAACTCTTTCTAACCTTGGCTTTTAAAAGTCTGGCTAATAAGCATCAGTTAACCCTTCCTTGGTGACTAAGTTGTTTCTATGAGCCCTCATCACAGGCCTGTATAATATGGCAGGCTGCTTCCCCTCATTAAATGACACCTTGCTTTATTCTGGAAAGGAGTTAAGATGGCTGATTCTTGCATGAAAGAATCTGCATCTGCTATGCTTTTGGAATTAGTATAGTGTTCTATTTATCTGTCTTCCGTCCATCTCATCCATCTTTCTATCTCTCTGTAGTTTTATTTCTTTCCTCAATATCACGGTGTCAGCTTTCACTCCTTTCTGCAATCAACCCACCTGAATCCAACAACTCGCCTTGTTTTACTGTTAGAAACCAGAGACTCCAGGGCCTGCCAATCATTAGCATTACCCAGCGTGCTTTGAAAATTGTAGGTTCCTGTTATGGATTAAACTGTGTGCCCCCAAAATATGGGTTGTAAATCGTAGCCTCTGTGCCAGTGGTTATAATCCCATTTGGGAATGAGTTGTCTTTGTTATGTGAATGAGGCAGGATTAGTGTAAGGTACATCTTGAGTCAATGTCTTTTGAGATATAAAAGATTAAATAAGCAAGCAGAGATGGGGTAAGTAAAATAGATGCCAGGACACATGGAGATCTCCAAGAAACCAGGAAGCAAAAGCTGAAGAGACAAGGACCTTCCTCCAGAGCCGACAGAGAGAGAAAGCCTTCCCCTAGAGCCCATGCTCTGAATTCAGACTTCTAGCCTTCTAAAATGTGAGAAAATAAATTTCTGTTTGTTAAAGTCATCCACTTGTGGTATTCTGTTACAGCAGCACTAGATAACTAAGACAGTTCTTGAACTCCCTTCCAGAGCTGCTGAATCAGAATCGAGTGGGGTAGAGTCCAGGAAACTAGTTTGAAAATGCTCCCCAGGTGGTTCTGATATTGGGAACTAGAACAATAGACTGCATTTAGACAACAAGCTTGTTGGACCTATGTTTTAAAGAAGAATCAGGTTGCTCAGCGTTAGGGTCTCCTTTTGGTAAAGGGCTTTTCTTTTGTCTTTGGCACATTTGATACTTTGAAACATATCTGGTTCCTTCCTAGTTCTAGCTCTTCTCTGGATCACCGGTAGGGGTTTGCTGGGTAGAATTAATGAAGTGTTCGTGATTCAGAGCACCAGAGACCTTCCTGTTTTCAAGTCCCTACTTGGCTGAGGCAATTGAGTTTGTGCTCCTTGATGAGTCAGCTCTCAGCTGGTGTTTCAGGCACAAACCTTTTGGTGAATTCACTGTCCCTGCTCCCAACTGCTGTATGAGGGACACACAGATCCTAATTTTACAATGATCAAGTAATATATAGTAAAATCCAAACAGAGAGGCCTAAAGGGTTTTTTTTTGGATATTCTTCCTGCTGATTCCCAGCACAGAGAACAAAGAGAGTTAAGATTTACACCAGCCCGGGAGGCCTGGAAGGGCCTACAGATCATCCCGATGCTGAATTGATCATAAGCATAATTTTGGTGTTAAGAACATTGTATTACATTATTATTCTTTAAAATTTATTCTTCCCATGTAGAGTGTCGATATTAATTGTGAATTAACTAAATATTCGATTGTCCAGAATACCTCATCTCCCATACTTTGAGAAAAACGAACATTGAATGTGGATTGTGATCCATATTTGGTCCTTTCCTCACATTTCCTGTTCTAAACCTTTCTTGAGCTAAAAACTCATGGCCCAAAGAGCTCGAAAAGTCATGCCAAGGGCAGCCAAAAAGCATAGCCCATTAGTAGGTTTTCAGCTCCATTAAGGGACAATGGCTGGGTAAAGAGGAAATGATACACAAGCAGAATTCTTTGACTGGGAGGTTCTTTATGAATTTGTCTTACTCAGTGCACTCCCTCCAGCCGGAATTAACTATGCCTTCCCCAACATGGCCAACCTTTTGTAGAGGAATATGGAAGGACTTAGGCATTTGAATATAGTTGTCTTAATATATTCACTGCTTTGACTGAAATTTTCTTTACCTCTTTCCTTTCTTCAGGCAATGTGGCTTTGCAAACATCTCAACAGCAATCTCCTCACCATGGAGAACTTGATGGCAAAAGAATTTTCCCAGCTGGCTGCTGAAGCCACAAGGCATTATCAGAAATCCAAGGTAGGACTGCCCCTCCCCACCCTCAACAGTGACAGAGCTCCCAAGACCCACCCCCTTCACCTCCCGGCTCGGCTAGTTTCCATCTTCTTTTGGATCAACTGAAAGAGAATCCTGAAATTTAAGATGAGGTGCAGGCAAGATGTGATGGAAGGAAAGAGAGTTATACTCTTAAATAGGGCTCATATTCTGGTGGGTACCAACGTGAGGTGTTTGTGGTGGGAAAAGATCATTCACAGAATGAGGGAGATGGGTTTGTATTGATGCAGCGGCTCAGGTTTGCTACTTCTTGGAGTCAGCCAAGTAAAGCATCCCAGGACAGGCGAGTCTCCGTTCTACAGATGCGTACTGGTGGCCCGCACCAGGGCATGCAGGGCTGACCTGGGCTGGGAGTTTAAATGACAGCTGTCCAGCTATCTCCAGAGAAAGACCCCTGTGCGCTGTACCTTAGGGGTGTTTTGCTTCTGTGGCCCCAAGCACCTGTAGTCCAGTGCTGTCCTGAAAGGACTGAATGTCTTGTTTCTAAAATCCTACCAACTCTATATTTGAAAAACATTTTTTTTTAAGGGAAATAAAGTGCTTGATCATGTTGTTTCTCATTAATACAAATAACCAACCAGTTGCTGTTGAGTCAGTTCCAAGTCACGGTGACCCCATGTGTGTGAGAGTAGAACTGTGTCCACAGGGTTTTCAGTGGCTGATTTTTAAGAAGTAGATCTCCAGGCCCTTCTTCCAAGGTGCCTCTGGGTAGACTCAAACCTCCAACCTTTGGGTTAGCAGCCGAGCACTTTAACCGTTTGTACTGCCTAAAACCAAAAGCCAAACCTGTTGCTGTCGAGTTGATTCCAACCCATAGCAACCCTAGAGGACAGAGCAGAACTCCTCGATAGGGTTTCCAAGGAGCAGCTGGTGGATTTGAACTGCCGACCTTTTGGTTAGCAGCTGTATCACTTAACCACTAGGGACTCCTTAATACAAATAGAAATTTCAAAATATTTCTTCAAAATTACCTTTGAAGCATAAGCAGGGATGTGCCCTTTTGGGCTTTCTTCACTGAGACTGAGGCTCTCTCATGTTTGTGAGGGAGATAGCTGAGAACAGTGATAAAGATCACTGTGTTTGTTGAGCACTTGCTATGTGCTCCACACTTTCCAAGCCTCCCCTCATTCCACGCCTCCACCAATCTCACCATTTTACCAACTGATGGAAAAGCCAAGGCCTGTGGAGGTTACATAATTGCTCGGGCCCGGGCAGGATTCAAACCAGCTGATACCCTACACAGAGTCCCACCGTGATGCTTCGGCCCTTCTGTTGCTTAAAATCAAGGATATAAGGGCCCGGCACCGAAACCAGCAAATTAGTTAAATACCAGCTAAAGTAGCCAGCTGTGCTTACATGTGAAGGAAGTGAACTCCCATCACTCATGTGACATCAGATGACTCCTTCAAGCCAAACTTTTAAACTTTAGTCACTCAGCATGCCAAAGATTAAAAAAATAAAAAACAAAAAACCAGTGCAAGTTAAATTCGAACAGGACAAATAAAGACAATTACAAAAAATTTGACTAAAGTGGAGTATAGCAGTGAAAGAGTTAAGGGCATGATCACTGGAGGGGACTCTGTGGTGGCCTCTTCCCTGGTGCCCTAAGCACAGGTTTATTTTGCATCGTGGTTAATCCAGGCTGCGGTCTCCCACCAGCTCGCTGTGCAGAGTCTGCAGCCCAGAACTTGTTGCATCCCAGCCTTCATTCATTGAGCAAGGCAGAGGGACATGGCTGCCGTTCCTCAGAAAATTTGAAAGTGAGTTTCCAAGCTTCATGGGACCACCAGTGAGTTGGCTGGCAGGACAAATGTCTTGGCCAGCCCTTGTTTGCAAGTAGCAGTAATCCCCCCACACTGGGCCTGAAGGAGATCTCCGAGACTCATGGGACTGCGACAGAGGAAGTCAGTAGCTTCTTGGTTCAGTGACCATAAACCAGGCAGCTGCCCTTGGCCTCTCTTTTCCTTGTTGGGGCCACTTGGTCTCTTCTCCTGGTTCTCTCTGCCATTTTCTTTCTTCTCCTCTCTTCCCTGCCTCTTTTGGCCATGCTGCTGGCTACTCATGGCTGCCACCCCTTTCCTAGGTTCCTATGTCCTCAGTTCAAACCACCGACAGAGGCAGCCCCAAGGCCAGATTCTCAGAATGTGAACCTGAAGGGGCCAACTGGTCAGCTGTTCACAGGGTGTGGGCCCTGGTGAGGGATGTGCAAAGAGGGCACAGTGCAGCCATGCAGCACGCACATGGCCATGGGGGCCCTTTGGGGTGAGGACAATTCTCAGAGTGAGTGGTGTGACTTAGGCAAATCTCCCAAATTTGCCTATTAAAATAACTGGATAGAAAAGACAGAAAGTGTCACTTAGCAAGGTTAGCCACCTCCATGGTGCATCCAAAAAGTGCTTAACCCAGTGGGTTTCCTGACCCCATATTCCCTGGCTAGGACTCTCAGCCCGTGGGGGAGTACAGAGATGCCCTGTCCCGCCTACAGCCTTGCAGGAATCAGTGTGTTGTCACAGCTTGGGGGACACTAGCTTCAGGGGGGAACATGGCTTTAGAAAGAAAGTGATTATCTTCTTTTCTGCAGAAGATAAACCTTTAAGGGTAGGGGCCCATCCATTGCTGTCCAGTTGATTCCAACTCATAGTGACTCTGTAGGACACAGTAGAACAACTGCCCCATAGAGTTTCCAAGGAGCGCCTGGTGGATTTGAACTGCCAGCGTTTTGGTTAGCAGCCATAGCACTTAACCACTGCGCCACCAGGGTTTCCAAGGGTGGGGGAGGCAGGCTTATTTCTAGGATAAAGATGCTTTTATTAGTTCTTAAAATTCAGCGTAGAGGAGGGAGTTTAAGGAAATTCCTCCTGGGTTTCATTACACTAATTACCAACATATTTCAGACCACATCGAAGTGCTTTCAAGGGTGTCTTGTTGCGGTTCCTTGGCTCAGAAATATGGGTGGAGGGAAGATAAAAGGCAAGGACGTCAGGACTAATCAAGGAGTAAACGGGACTGAGGAGCTGAAATGGGTGTGTCGGGGCTTGGCTGTACTCGGCCTTGTCTGTGGATGGCTGCCTGCAGGAGAGGGCTCTCATTAAATGTCATTTTTGAAGCGTCTGCTGATTCGGAGTCTTTACACCTCTTTTTTCAAGGAGTGATAATACTTTCAAATACTTAATTTCCTCCTGCTAATCCTGGCTCTGCGCTCCTAAGTAGAATTTTCTCTTACATTGTGGGTATTCACCAAGACATCTCCACTCTAGGCAATTCCAAACGGTTTCCAAAATACTTCTTAATTACCTACTGTGTTTCATGGGAGATCCAAAGACAAATTCCTTCTCTTTGCCCCTGGGAGCTCCCAGCCCAATGTGGGAGACTGATGGGACCACAAAACTGAACACAGCCAGGACACAGGAGTGAGGAAGCCTCATTCAAATCAGTTAATTGGTGGCTTGGTTAATTAATTCATTTGTTCAGTAAATGTTCTCTGAGCACCTACTATATTAAGTCCTGAGTGCTGGCTGTGGGCTGGGAAGGGGTACAAACTGTGTGGGGTTTAGGGGCTCTGTAGAGCCGTAACCACAGTCATGATAAGCAAAGCCTTCCTAAAGGACACAACTGTGATGTTCCATAACATGGGAAGAGCCCGGAATCGGGAAAAGTGCCCCAAAACCTACACTGGCAGGGGCGCCCCCAAGGATGCTGGGGATTCATGGCAGCCAGGGACTGGAGATAGTTTTTTGTTTGTTTTTAACCGTTCGTTATGAAATAGTGTAGAGAGATTCAGGAGAGAGAATAGTATAACAAATTTGCATGTATGCACCACCTGGCTTCAACAAAGTATTAACTCATATCCAATCTAGTTTCATGTATAGCACCACCTGCTCCCCCTGCCGTGGGCTACTTTAAAGCAAACCCATATAGCATTTCATTTCTCCATGGATGTTTTAGTCTCTGTCTTCAAAATATAAGGTCTCTTTTTTATTAACAACAAAACAAACCAAAACGCAAACAAACACACACACATATTATCACACCTAAAAGCTTAACAGTAATTCCTCCAGTATCTGGTTAGGGTTAAAATCTCCTTGAGGAGACGGCTTTCTTGTATTCCTTTGCACCCTCTCCCTCTTTGCCCAGCCCCAGGACACTCTGCCTCTCTGGGTTATAAACACCTCAGGCAGTGTCATTCCCACTCTTGACCATCTGACTCTTCTGGGGCAGAGCTGGATGCTGGCAGGCTCCAGCCAAGGCCATTGGCTGGTGACTGGGCTGCTTTGTCTTTGTGACTTAGGCTTCATTTAGACACTGACCCCACAGCTCTTCCTGGAGGGGTTCAGAGACCTGAGGACATGGTAAATGCAACCGAAAGGAGTATCAGAATGACCCCTGTTATCACGAAAGGGACATAGTTTCCAACAATATTGCTTAGTTCCTACCTTTTCCTTCTTACTGCAGGAACTCTAGCACCTTTTTCCTCAAACCCTTTCCCCATCAAAACACCCCCCTCAGACCCTAGCCAAAGATCACTTTTCCTCCCCTTCCCTCCTTTTTATTAAGTTAATTGAATTCCTCTCCTTTGCCAAACCCTTTCCCCTCATTTGCCCTCTCTGATCCATCTCTAAGCTGACCTTCTGATTCACCATCACAGACACCAGAAGCTGAGGTGAGGTAGGCCTGGGGGGTGGGCTGGGGGCAGGGCTGGGACTGGGTGAGGCAAGGAGGCCCCTAGGGCGCAAAATTTAAGGAGACATTCCCTCTCAGGTGCATGTCTCTGCACCTGCACAAGCCTCAGAGTGAGTGCCTCCTTAACTCTTGTGCCTTGGGAGCCTGGCTTGCCTCGCTCTAGTCCTGGTCTTGGCAGGGAGCTTGGGAAATTAGGGGGCAACAAAGTTTGGTGTCCAGGGGTAAGGTTAGGAGAGGAGGGGAGGCCAGACCACTGGTTCAGAGTCACACAGAAGATGATAAGA